GGAATGAGAACAGTCTATCCCTATAAATTAAATAAAGGGTTCAGTTTGAAATTCCCTGTAGGTTATCCAGATCAACATACACCTGGAGAAGGCCAGATGACAAATCAGCCAAAATGTCCTGATAAAAAATGGGAACAATAGTCTGAATAGAAATTAGTGTAAATAATGATAACTCCTAGTCCCAAAAATTCATACAAAAAACAGTTTCAGATAATATGAAGCAAATGCATTGAATAAAAAAGTGATAAAAAAACAATGAGGATGACAATGGCTTGCAAGATAAGGATCAAAATTTCAGACAATTTTTTAAATGAGAAGATAGATTTTTCACGGAGTTGCTATCAATAAATATATTCTGATGACCTTTCAAGAGATCACTGCCTCGTAGTTGGGAACAAAACATCTGTGGAAATATTGAATACAACAGGAAGCAATTCATCAAACATAGCTATTTTTTTAACAGTACATGCAACACTAGTTACATTTTACCTACCAGTGGTACCAATGGGAGTCATATGTTCATCTAAAAGAAGAAACATGCAAACAAATTAGAATTTTACATTCAGCATAAATGAACATGTGTGTGTGTGTGTGTGTGTGTGTGTGTGCATACATATACAACAAAGAAATCAGTCAGTTATATGCCATGCGTCATACACATTTAGGAGATCATGTATCTTTCAATACATGACTGACGAGGCAGATTTTTTTTTCAACAGTACGTTGCCATTTCTTCCTGTGGTATACCAGTTGCCACCCAAGGCTATAGAACCCAATCTGTACAGCTATTTACCCATAGCTGGGAGGAGAAGAAGAGGATTCATACCTTTTCCAAAGGTATTAGCATGTTGTGAGAAGCTCTCAGTCCATCCAAGAAGAAATTACAAAACAAATTCTGATTTAGATCATCTGATCAAATTTTGAGAAGCTGATAGACTAAGGACATTTCTGAATCCCGTTATATACATATATGGTTGAATCAATGCATGTTCAACCTGTAGTTACTGAATTAAGTGCATTGACAAGGAAGAAAAATAAGTCAAAAAAGACATTTGTTATTTTATGATTACACTATATAGTTTATATATATATATATATATATATATATATATATATTGGGTCCATGTGTTTGAAGAGATATCATTATTTTCTAAACAATGCAATTAATGTCCACTGGCCTAGAAATTGAAAGCCTTAATAAAGAAAATGTTTCACCTGACTTTCAACATCTTGACATTTAATTTCACTGTTTAGATAAGAGGGATGCCTACACAAACAAGTGTACCCATTAATTACAATGTTTATGTATATAAGAAATAAGGCTGAATTACACTCCACCCTGCAAAAAAAGAAAACAAGTATGTCACCTTCATATAATGGTCAATCAGAAGAAGAGAGGATAATTTGCTGGAATAAATCGTCACAAATTTGGAAAAATGGTGGGAAACAAAGAAGTACAAATGGTCTGAAATATCGCAAGAATTTATCAAAAAAATATTCATAGTTTTTAAGGACATCATATGATTATAAAGTCATGGGCACCAGCTTAATCCATAGCTTCATAGGTCCTTCTTTCTCCATGAAGTTGATTAACTACAAAAAACTGCTGGAAATGTGACTCATCTAATCAGGAGGTCAACAGTATAATAGCAATGTCCCCTGGCCCAAGTGAAGCACAGTAACCAATACCTTGCTGTCAATGATAAAACCCTTGTTGATCAACAACAATGATACCCAATAGAATGAAAGGAATTTTGGTTGTTGGATTGAATGGCAACATTGTTGAATTGAGATGAGATTTGATGCAATGTTCCTCCTTTCTTTGCCATTCTTGCCAGTCACTGACAATCCTGTTTTTACAGGACCTGCAAGTAGGGGTACTCCTACCGTTTTTATATGCCACTATAATTCCGGGGAAATCTTGTTTGTCTTATGGCCATCACATGGTCACAACTATGCACCCTTTTTAACAAGAGATTCATAAACATTCCTAGTATCCTGTGACATTAAGAAATGCTTGACTTCATTTTTTTTTTTTTTTTATCAGATGCTGAATCCCTTTTGCCAAACTAAGTGACAAAAATGCTCAATCAAGATTTAGGTTTTGACAGTCTATTGCAGTAATTCTCAACCTTTTTCACTTCAGAGAACACTTGTCAAATAACTAAAACTTTGGGGAGCACTTTCAATTTTACTAAGGAAAAATAAGTTCTGAAATAAGCATTTATTTTTAAGACATTGCATTACTTGGTCTCTCTAGCTTTTTAAAAATAAAGACTTTTTAAATATAAAAATAATTCATAAATTAGTCTTCTGTTAACTTGGGGCACATCTGGCTTACCTTTCAGGGTGCATTAGTGCGTCCTGGTGCACCAGTTGAGAAACATTGACATCGTGAATGACATCAATTCCTAACTTATTCCAAGTGTCATTCACATCCTAGTTGCATCTATAGATTGTGCCTGGCCACAGCAGAGGGAACAAAAACCTGTAGAGTTGATTTACTAAAGGCAATTAACTAATACCAAGATATCCAAAAAAGGCATGGTACATGGAATTAGAACTAAAAGGGTTTAGTTCAAAATTCCAATGTATATTACCTGAAGAAGGTTGGAGCATACAATGGCCGAAACATTGTGAATGTGACAATAAAAATGAGGAAAACAGTCTGGACGATGTAAATAGTATAAATATTTATCATCTAGTTTCAAACATCAAATGACAAAAACTTGACGTAGACATGGAAGCCATGTGTTTAGTGTCTCAGGATTTTTTTAAAAATAAAGATTTTTTAGATATAAAATTAATCCATAAATTACTCATCTGTTAACTTACAGAACACCTGCTTACCTTTCATTAGTGCATTAGAAACACTGGTCTATTGGGACAAATTTAACGAAATTTCACCCAATCTCTGTTTGAATTTCTGGGATGGGAAGTTATAAATTTCACCTATGACAAAGCTCAAGAGCCACTCAAGGTAGAAGTTGAAATGGTAATGAAAAATGTGTGCAATAAGAATAGAAGAAAGAAATGGAGATTATCAGGATAAAGAGCAGAAATAAAGATTGACCCTCGACCTTAAGAGGCTAAGACTGTTCTAGAAAGTTGCAGTTCTTGGAAGAAACCCGAGTTAAATTTTTGCTTTACACTTCGAACATGGAGGAAATTAGGGTGATTCAATTCTGTGGAAGTGGTATTGTGTGGTATGTTCTAAATGTAAAGATCTGAACTGGTGGGACTATAAAATAGATGTTGCTATTAATATTAATTAATTATATGAAAAAAAAAGTTGATTTTAATTTGTTGCTTCTAAACAGTTTGTGTTTTAATTATGAAGAAAGGAAAACTTTTTGTTTTTGGTCATGAGACAAAGGAGAGGTAAGGGTTTTGAATGTCTATTGGGACTCAAGCTCCATGTCACGGATGTTATCTACAGGGTGTGACAGATAAATTGTTATTTAAATGATGCAAAAATGAAAATAACAGACATCTCATTTTAACAGATATATTTACCAACATACATAAAAATATCTTGAAGGAGTAAAGAGTAAATTTATTCAATAAAATCACCATTGGCTTCAACCATTGGCTTCAACCATGGCCTCCAGATGACTTCAGAATCTCCTGCAACTCTTCTGGACAGTCTCCTTGTTTAAGTTGGTGACAACTTAATCAAGGAGGGGGATGCTGCCATAATCCTTGCCTTCAGTTCATCTTTGGTCTTACAAGGAGTTTTGTTGGTTTCTTGCGCCCCACACATAATAATCAAGGGGATTGCAATCTGTGGAGTTAAGTGGCCAGATGTAAGGGATGACGTGGTCACAGAAATTATCTGACAGCCATGACTGGGTTCTCCTGCTTGTGTGGCATGGTGCAGAGTCCTGTTGCTAGATATAGGGTCTTCCAGCAGCCACCCTCTTGAGCCAGGGTAGCACTATCTCTTCAAGGCACTTGATGTAGGTCTCCGTGGTGAGTCTGAGGACCTCACTAAGAAATTCGTGAGTTCTTTTCTTAGAACAATCAGAGTGAATTTCCCAAGCTGCTGTACCTTCATAATCGCCATTAGACTCCTCCAACTCTTTCAGAATCGTCTGCACTGTCCTCAGATTGACACCTAAACACTATGAAATATTTGTATTGGAGCCTGAATGCCAAACAGTACTACATGCCATTTCCAAATTTTTGGCAGAATGAATTACATCATGGTGCTCTTTTTTTCACAGATGGTGCCCAAATGACCCTACTATATTGTGTAGTCAACAAAATAAAAAAAACAATGTGTATGTGTGAAATTAAAAATATAAAATGGTGCCAATTTGCCCATCACACTCTGTATAGACGATCTATCAGTAAGGATGCTGACAAAATGGTCAGTTCCTTAGATATTGCTCGAGTAAGTACAAAACACCTCCTGTCATGCATGATTGTATTGCTACGAGAGTCAGGCCATACCAAAAATGGAGTACTGCAGCCATATCCGGGATTGAATTACCCAGACCTTGCTCTCCAGCCAAGATAGCCTCCAAAAGTATCTATGCAACCTTGTGGGTCATGAATTAGTTTCAAATCTACAACCGCTTCCAAATGAGACATCACAAGGCTCTCAATACTCTCTTACTATTTCCATGAAAATGTTCTGGCAAACTGCATTCATTAGTTCCACTAATTCAACCATCACAGCTAAAATCCAACATGCCACATACTCTGGGAAAAATGATCCCATGTTTATATTCCATTAATAAGGAGAAAGTTCCATTGAAACAATTTCTTCCTTTGAACTGTTACTTTGTAAAACAGGCTCCTGAGTGGATGCTTCCTCCAACTGCTACAAACCCAAACCTCTTCAAGTCTCAAGTCTTTCCTACATACCCTCATCATCTGCACTTCTTACAACCTCATTCAGAAACACTACCTTGAGTGGCTTTTGGGCCTTGTATTGGGTGATCAATTCATAAAACAAATTGTGAAAAAAAATTTATGACTTTTGAGTAACTCACCTGGTCCATAGCTTATAAAATGAAATATATGAATCCTCGATCCAGTACTTCCTGCATCAAAGATGATTCCATAGACATCTTTAGGTTTCTCCACTTGTTGTCCAGGGAAAGACATTGGGTCAATATGTAAAGGAATCGACCAGTTATAAGCAGATCCGAAGATGACAAATAGCATGGCTAATACCACAAGGATGACAGCCCAAATTTTGCCTTGGATATCAAATGGACTAATCCGCATTGTTCGTCGTGCAAAGTTATCAAATTTCGAAATTTCTGTGTTTGGTTTCAATATCTTTTCCATTTACCTTAAAAAAAAAAAAAAAAAAAAATTATCGATCAAAATGGAAATGTAAATAAAGCACAAACAGAGACACATTGAAAATTTCTTCAAAAACATATTTAAGTCCCCATAAGGTGTTTACATTTTTTCACCTAATTCAAGGCTTAAAAACCACTGAAGTCAGGGTTTTTTTTTTTTTTTCTTTTTAAATAAAAACAAGATTATTTTTTATTTAAATCAGATTTTTTTTCATTTAAACACATAAAAAAGTTAAAGAGTAAAACTCATATGAATCGCTTGAGACATTAACATAGGATAATTTAGGATTGCCAAATTAACAATTTTTAGTTATCTCTGGCTGACTTTTTTTTCTTTTCTTTTTTAAACTGAGATCTGGGTTTTTCAATTCCTGTCAGTGTTGCTTTTTAAGTTTGAAATTTGAAAGTGTGTTGAGCAATGATATACTTTCTGTGGTTAAGCAACTCCTGTCAGCAGTGGCCTCATCCTCTGGCATTGAACGAGTTTTCTCATCCCATAGACTGGTGTATTCCAAACGGAGAAACCATTTTGATAAAGCAGCAAAACTGTTTTTTTTCTCTTTAAATCGATGAATGTAAACATGGCTGATGCTGGATTTTAAAATTTGTTAATGCTTAGAATTTTATTTTACAGTAAAACAAATTATTCAGTGGTTTAATAAATATTTGATTCAATATGTTGAAAAATTTCTTCCATCATAAAATTACATGAAAACAAATAAATTATGTTTTATTTCCAAGTCTTTTGCTTCAAATAAAGATTTTGTAAAATTGATTTAAATCGGTGATTTTATTTTTTTTTTTTTTTGTTTGATTTAAATTATGATTTAAATCGAACAATCTTGCTCAAGGTCAATGGTTATTGAATGAGGTTATTGTAAGAGAGTAAAGGAAGGAAGTAAGAAGTTCTTATTATGAGGATATGTAGGATAGATAATGGTTGGCCCTAGACTTGAAAAGGTTAAGATCATAGTGATTGGGGAAGCAACCTCTCAGGAGTTTGTTCCACAAAGTAAGTTCTTGGGGGGAAAAAAATTGTCTGAGTAGAACTTCCTCCTTACCAATGGAATATGAAAATGAGGATAAGGCTAGCAACATTTCGTCTGTGGGGAAAGGGATTGTAGGGTGGAAAATAATTCATCCCTCCCAAGGCTTCATATGAAAACAATTATCAAAAGAGAAACATTTACAGATATGAGTAATATGAAACATTAAACCACTGTTACAAATAAAAGCATAATAAAAATATTCTAAAATATTTTCCCTGTTGATTGTTTCTAAGGCAAGGGTTTCATGCCTTGAATGACAACCTTACTAGAGATGGTATCTCGATAAAAACACTTGGTGTTTACTGCCATGTAAAACAATATACAATAGAACCTTTTTAAGAGAAAAAAATATTGTGGTGTTCGCCATAGTTGTAAAGACAAGACACAAATTCACTGCAAGGAAGCAACAAGTAAAAGGTTTAGTAATTTGTTGCGAGTACAAAAAAGAATTGGTTCATTTTTTACAGTTTATCAACACTTTGCAGGTTATTTAAAGCCAGCAAATATAGAAAGTAAGTTTTTTTTTGAGATGATAATGATTTAGTTATACAAGTCTTACTAATTAACCTATATAATAGGGGAGAAAAGGTGGATTTATACTTTTCCCAATGGTATTTGTGTAAGCAAAGAAAATGAACCCAACTAGATTTTGGCTTTCTGATTAACAATTCTGAAATTTTATCTATTTCATCACCTGCACAACCAAACTTACAGCACCTGATATCCTCAGCAGTCACCCATCTAGGTACTGGCTATGTCTGATGTTGCTTAACTTCGGTAATGGTTATGGGAACCAGTGTTTCAACATGACATAGCTTTAATCCCAGAGAGTACAAAAAAAGTTAACATTACCCAACCACAGCAATTTGTGATATGCTGGACATTTAATTGAAACAAACTAAGAGTAGATAGGATTATCTATCGCCCGATTCACACACCTCCCTGGTCTTTTGAACAGGAGTACAATGTTTATACTGTTTCCTGTTTAGGATTGGGTTTCTGATTCCTTCTAAAGTCTACCTCAACTCTATACCCCTAATGTCTCCAACTGAACTGTGAAATTTTATTCGCTAATTAAATCTTGGCCTCTTCAAGTCTAGAATTAGCTGTCTATCTTTCCTATTAATTTGCCCTTTCTTCTATTAATACAACTTTACACAGTAACCCTCTACCTTAGTGTGACCCTTGGGCCTTGTATTGGATGAAGATTAGGAAAAAAATTTTCATTAATTAAAAAAAAAAAAAAAAAAAAAAAAAACAAAAAAATTTTCCTTTGCATACATTTTCATAAAATCTGATGGGTTACCATTACTTGTTTTTAGGACAGGCAAAATAAATCCTAATTCTGAGGAAAACTTGTAAAATGAACAGATGATTTGGTTTGTTTTATGGCATATCAACCACAATGGGTTATTTAATGCTGACAGTTTACATTGTTGGTAATATTTTTTCCTTAAAAAAATCTATTTCAGGTAATATTTTTTCCTTAAAAAAAAAAAAAAAAAAATATCTATTTCAGGTAATATTTTTTCCTTAAAAATCTATTTCTGGTAATAATTCTCCTTTACTGGTAATATTTTTTCAAAAAATGTATAGCTGGTAATGTTTTTTTTTTTTTTTTTTTGTTTTTTCAAGAATGTATAGCAGGTAATATTTACTTTTAAAAAATGTATTGGTGGTAATATTTTTTTTTTTTTTAAATGTATTGCTGGTAATAATTTTTTTTACAAAGTATTTCTGGTATTAAAACCTATTTTTACATTTTCATAGTGTTTTGACCCCAGTTTGGGGGTTAACTATTTGCCCATAGCTGGGACCCTAACAGGTGCTACCACCCCAGGTCAGGGTGGACCTGGGAACACCAACAATTAGGAGGTGGTTCCATGCTCAAAACCTATATAATCAAGATACCGTAAAATACAGCAATAATATGTATTTTGAATATCTGAGAAATATTCTGAAAAATTCCTTAAGGAAAACAAAAAAAAATCTATCCATTGGCATGATTCAAATTGACGGCCTTTTGATGCAAAAAAATGTCTGTCTGTACCAGTTCTCATCCAATTGTGCTACAAGAACCAATAACAATCAACAGATCAAATCCAAACCGTTACCTGAGAGACCAGGAAAATATAAAGAATAATTAGAGTCAATCATCTGTTTACTATTTTATGGGCTCTTGTGTCTCAGGTGGCCAAAAAGTAAGTACAAATAATCCTGAGCCAAGAGAACAAAAGTTCAAAACTTACAGAGAGACTATACTTCATTTCTAATTCAAACTCTTTGCAAATAGCCATATGTGGATTAAAAAGAAATTAAAATAAAATACCCTTAAAAAAAATGAAGAATGCTTGACAATGCTTCATCTAAACAAAAGTCCAGATAATATTGCTACTACTAAAACTACAAATGGAAATAAAGCAATTCAAATGAAGATGAAAGAAATCCTAGTCAAAAATGAACAATGCTTGGCAATGCTTCATTTAATCAAAAGTCCAATATGACTACTACCATTGTTTATACAAAAAAAGTTAAGTCAAGTATGGTGGTCTGAAATAATGACTTCATAGGATTTGATCTGATGTTCAGCAACTGTTACTTCAAATCTTATTTCTGATCTGTAAATATTTAATAATGGTCAAAAAAAAAAAAAAAAAAAAAAAAAAAAAGATGGCCTGATGATTTACAATGAAAACCAAATGAAATTAAGATAAAAGAAATACTAGTCCAAAATTTATAATGGTTGAAAATGCAACAATAAAATTTCAAGATAATATTAATACTTCTTCGCTAATATCTTTGGACAGATTGTTGTAACAAAAGGCACAGGAAATTAAGATAAAAGAAATATCTTTTTTCTGTCTGAATTTCAGTTGTTGTACACTCCAGCCTTTATTAGCTGTATGTTGATCCGGGTAGACGACATAGTTCAATCCCTGATCTAGGTTGTGCAGAGAGTCACATTGGAAACAGGCTGAGCAATAACTGTAACATAAAACAAGACATGATGATCCCTAGACATGGATGGCAAAATGAAAACAATCAACAATAAAGGATTCAGTTCAAAATTCTTTGAAGTTTACCCGGATCAATAAACACCTAATGAAGGCTGGAGAACACAATGGTTGAAACATTGTGATAATAACAATAAAGATAAGGACAATAGTCTTAGTGCAAGTAATAGAAATAATAATCTGTAAGAGTCTGTCTATATTTCTGAGATGAGGTATTATGTACACTATTTACATTAGTCGGACTATTGTCCTCATCTTTGTCGCCATATTTGTCACAACGTTTCGGCCGTTATGCGCTCCGCCTTCTTCAGGTGGTTGGAATTTCGAACTGAACCTTTATTTCGATCACTGGGGTAGACTGTTCTAATTCCACGTGCCATGTTTGATGGATGTCAGTTATCAGTTATCTCCTGCTAATTTTCCCTCTGAAAGTTCTCCACTGCCTTAACCAGGAATTGAAATAAAGGGTTCAGTTCGAAATTCCAACCACCTGAAGAAGGCCGGAGCGTACAACGGCCGAAACGTTGTGACAAATATGGCGACAAAGATGAGGACAATAGTCCGACTAATGTAAATACTGTAATCTGTAAGAGTTTTAACTCAACTTTGTTGTACTGTGCTTCTTTTCTGTCAGTTATTTTTTTTTTATATATTTTGGGTGATTGTATTTCATGCCATTTGTCCATTGTTCTCTGAACAGTCTAGCAAAAATGCTACAGTGCTACATTCTTTGA